TTTGTATATTTAGTAGAGACGAGGTTTCGCCATGTTGGCCAGGTTGGTCTCGAACTCCAGACCTCAGGTGATCACACCTGCCTTGGCTTCCCAAAGTGCTAGGATTAGAGGCATGAGCCACCGTGCCCTGCCATATTTAGGCACTATTAATTTTGTAAAACATTCAGGTGTGATGTCATGTGTCTTGTCACTGCTTGTCAGGAAACTAAGTCAGAAGGATTACTTTAGCATGGGAGTTTAATGCTGCACTGTTCCCCAGCCTGGACTAAGTAGAAAGATCTTGTCTCTAAAAATAAATAGCTCACGCCTGTAATCCCAGCACTTTGGGAGGCCGAGATGGGTAGATCACAAGGTCAGGAAATCGAGACCATCCTGGCTAACACTGTGAAACCCCGTCTCTACTAAAAAAAATACAAAAAATTAGCCGGGCGGCAGTGGGAAGCTCCTGTTAGTCCAGCGGACCCGGAGGCTAGGCAGGAGAAGGTCATGAAACCCGGAGGGCGGAGGCTTGCACGTGGTGGGAGATCGCGCCACTGCCACTCCAGCCTGGGCCTTACAGAGCGGAGGGATCTCGTCTCAAAAAAAAAAAAAAAAAAAGAAGCGAAAAAGAAAATAAATAAACGAATAAATAAAAGTAGAAATGAAAGGCTGGGGTGGGTTGCTCCACAACTGCAATCAAATCCCGGCACTGTGTGCGGAGGTCAAGGTGGGCAAGAATCACTGGAGCCCAGGGTTCTAAGACCAGCCTGGGCAACATAGTGGAGAATTGTGGTTCCCTACAAACTAATACAAAATTAGCCAGTTATGTAGTGGCTCATGGGCTGTGGTCCAGCTAACTCAGGAGGCTGAGGTGAGAGGTATGCTGTGATCACAGGAGAGTTAAGAGGGGTTGCAGTGAGCTGAGATCCGCGCTAGTTGCCACTCCCAGTCTGGATGACGAGTGAGACGCTCTGTCTTTCCAAAAATAAAAATTAAAACAACATAGAGAGTGAAAATTAAGCTACTGAAAAGAAAAGACTTGCTATACAGACATGGTCTCCTTTTGCCCCTGTGTGACCTCATTGGCCCTAGCTATGTTCCCTTATACTTCAGTTTTCGATAAGGGAATAACAATTGCTTAGCTACCTTTGGGAAGGACGAAAAAGGTGTGGCAGTGGAAGTACAGCAATGTACCTGGCTAACATTAGCCAGAGGGAAGGAAGGCAGAGGTAGAGTTTTTTTTTTTTCTGATGGACGGTCTTGCTTTTGTTACCCCAGGCTGAAGTGCAGTGGCATGATCTCGGGTCACGCAACCTCACCTCCCGGGTCAGGCGATTCTCCTGCCTCAGTTCTCCCAGTACGCAGGGATTACAGGTGCGTAACCATCCATGCCCAGCTTAATTTTTGTATTTTTAAGTGAGATGGGGTTTCACCATGTTGGCCAGGCTGGTCTTGAACTCTGACCTTCAGATATATCTGCCTGCCTCAGCCTCCCAAAGTGCGGGATTACAGGCATGAGCCACTGCACCCAGCCTTTTGTTTTTGTGTTTTTGTTTTTTGTTTTTTTGCTTTTTTGTTTTAGATAGAGTCTCACTCTGTCACCCAGGCTGGAGTGCAGTGGCGAGATCTCAGGCTCCTGCAGCCTCCACCTCCCAGGTCATGGTGATTCTCATGGCCTTGGCCTCCTGAGTAGCTGGGACTACAGGTGGGCACCACCACACCCGCCTAAATTTTTTTTTTTTTTTTTTTTGAGACGGAGTTTTGCTTTTGTTGCCAGGTTGGAGTGCAATGGCGCAATCTCGGCTCACCGCAACCTCCGCCTCCTTAAGGTTCAAGCGATTCTCCTCCTCCGCCGTCCCGAACGTACTGGGATCTGACAGGCATGCGCCAGCATACCCAACTAATTTTGTATTTTTAAAAGAGACGGAGTTTCTCCATGTTGGTCAGGCTGGTCTTGAACTCCCAACCTCAGATGATCTGCCCACCTCAGCCTCCCAAAGTGCTGCGATTACAGGCGTGAGCTACTGCGCCCAGCCCACGCCCAGCTAATTTGTGTGATTTTAGTAGAGATAGGGTTTCGCTGTGTTGGCCAGCTTGGTCTTTAACTCCTTACCTTATGTGATCTGCCTTCCTTGGCCTCCTAAAGTGTTGAGATTACAGGCGTGAGCCACTGCACCTGGCCCTCAGAGTAGAAAGTTCTTTAGATCACATTATTGCTGTACTCAGTGTCCATGGCTGAGGATATAATGCTGTCAGTTAAATCAATAGGGAATGGCACTTCCACTTGAGGGAACAATTAGTAAACCTTCAACGACTTGTCCTTTTCTGGTCATTTAGTGTCTGTATGTGAATTCCAACGTCATTGCTGCCAGCAGCTAAAATTATGATTCCATATCTGAAGTCACCTTTGCAAAAAGTATAACATAAGTCTACCTTGTCTCAGAGTGACCCCATCAACCTAGCCATGTTTTCATCTTTGCAGTCTTCCATAAGGGAAGTAATTGCTTAGCCACATTTGGAGGAGGAAAAAGTGGCAGTGGAAGTAGTAAGGTGCGTGGCAGGACTTCACTAGAGAGAAGAAGCAGAGTGGGAACATTCTTTAGATCACATATCATTGCTATACTCAGTTTCCATGGCTCAAGAAATAGTGCTTTCAGTTAAATCAAAAGAGTGCCACTTCTGCCTGATGGAACAGTTAGTAAATCCTCAACCAATTATCCTGTTCCAGTGATTTAGTTGCTGTATACAAATTCCAACATAAATGTTGCCAGGAGCTAAAATTATGACTCTACATCTGAAAACTCCTTTGCAAGAATTATAACAGTGAAAATGATGACAGTGAAAGAGATCAGATCTAAGCAACTCCACGTTTTCTTTAGCCTCCAAGCTACCCCTGTTCATTCCTGGTTATAGGTCTTACTAATATTAGAAGGAGTTTAGTTTAGCTTTAAAGCAAAAGTTGTAACTGCCGCTTCCCAAAAGAAATCATCTCCTTGCTTGGGAACCAGATTGCCTTTGTAAAACTAAGAAATTAGCCACAAGATTAGAAATTATGGTTCAGGAAATATGCGGCCAGAGGACACAAGATTCCCAACCTTGCCACTTGCTCCTGTGGATAATATTGTTGTAAGACCTAAGATTGGTGTTTGAGGTATTTCTGAGACCCTTCATTCTGATGGATTAGCTGGCATCACACAGACCAATAAACTGGCTCACCTGCTCCAGTGGCCCCTAGCCAAGAACTGACTCAGTGCAAGAAGACAGCTTAGACTCCCTGTGATACATCCTTTTCACGACCAATCAGCATTCCCTATTTTCCAGCCTCCTGCTCACCAAATTACCTTTAAAACCCCCACCCTCGGCCGGGTGCGGTGGCTCATGCCTGTAATCCCAGCACTTCCATAGGCCGAGGCGGACGGATCACGAGGTCAGGAGTTTGAGACCAGCCTGACCAACATGATGAAACCCTGTCTCTACTAAAATACAAAAATTAGCCGGGCGTGGTGGGGCGCGACTGTAATCCCAGCTACTCAGGAGGCTGAGGCAGGAGAATCGCTTGAACCCAGGAGGCGGAGGTTGCAGTGAACCGAGATCACGCCACTGCTGTCCAGCATGGGCTACAGCGAGACTCCGTCTCAGAAACAGAGCAAAACAAAACAGCCTCCCAATTTTTAGGGAGGCAGAATTGAATAAAAATAAAATTCTGGTCTTTCATTTAGCCGACTCTATTGCAATTCCCTTTTTCTTTCCTTCAGAGACAGGGTCTCACTCTGACACCTAGGCTGGTAAAATCACAGCTCACTTTGGCCTCGACCTTTCTGGGCTCAGGCGATCCTGTCATCTCAGCCTTCCAAGTAGCTGGGACTACAAACATGCACCACCATGCCCGACTAATTTTTGTATTTTTTGTAGGGGCGGGGTTTTGCTATGTTACCCAGGCTGGTCTCAAGTTCCTGGGCTGAAGCAATCTGCCCTGCCGCCCTTGCCTTCCCAAAGTGGTGGGGTTACAGGCATGAGCTACTCCCCCCGCACAAGCTAAAGTTTCTATTCAACAGTACCGTGTGGCGGGGGTTCCCAACCCCCGGTCCATGGCCTGTAAGAACCAGTCCAAACAGCAGGAGGTGAGCGGCTGGCGGGCGAGCCAGCGGGCATTATCGCCAGAGCTATGCTTCCTGTCAGATCAGCAGAGGCATTAGTGCGTCATAGGAGCCCGAACCCTATTCTGAGCTGCGCATGCGAAGGATCTAGGTTGGGTTTGCCTTACGAGGATCAAATGCCTGATGATCTGAGGTGGAAGTTTCATCCCGAAACTATCTGCTGCGGTAGGAGAACTGTCTTCCACCAAACCGGTTCTGGTGCTAAAAAGGTTACAGACGTCTGGCTTAAAGAATCTATCGCTAGATCCTGTCAAACCGGTTCTCAGAGTCCCGTTACCAAGGGCTTCTACTGTCACTCACGGCTGAGGGGGCGGGGCCCGGTGCCTCGTCCAATCAGGGGCGCTGGGCGGGGCCCTGCCAACTGCCCATCTGGGAGGGCGAAGGCCTTGCTCTCCTCCAGGCGGCGAGCTGAGGTTGGGAACCTGGCTTTCCCCTCCCAGAGGGTTCAGGTGCCTCTGCCATAGCTTCTGTCGCCTATGCTGTGACCCGCACTGGTCGTGAGAGTCACCTGAAAGGCAAGAAATGGTGAGCGTGCGGGCCAGGATTCCCGAGACGGGGAAGGAGCTGGTTGGAACCGGCCGGAACCGGCTGTGATGGGACCCAGGTCTCTCCGCGGCGACTCCGGGGTCTGGGACCCGAATTCCCTTGGGACAACTCGCCCCTTGGTCCCTTTGGCCCCACGGTGGGGCTGGGCCGGCAGCCGGGACCCGGGCGTCTCGTCCCGTCCCTGCACGGCGACTATCACCCAGTTCCCAGAGCCCTCTCTGGGCAGCTCCGCGCCCGCTGCCCCGAGTCTCCCCAGATTGTGCGGGGACCACGCGAGGGTCATGGGGGATCCCGCCTCGGGTGTGGGGTTTGTGTAGGAGGAGGGTGGGCTGTGGGGTCCCCAGTAGCTCCTTTCTCCTCTTAAAAATTAAACTGAGACACTTTAACAATTCAAGAGTTTTGCTTCTCAGAATAGGGTTTTTAAAAAGTATATTAATAATTAAAGAGTTCCTTTGAGATTCCTGAATGATAAACACCCAGTCCTGGCTTGTAATTTGTTAACGGAAAATGCCAAACTGTGTAAAATAACTTAAAGAAGTTTATTCAGAGCCAAATAGGAGAGGCCACGGCTGAGGAAAACACAACCCCAGGAGGCTTGGGGTAAGTGGTCCCGAGGCGGCTCAAGACAGTTTGCTTTTATTCATTTCAGGGAGACAGGAATTGCAGGGAAAATTATGCATCAATGCCTGGAAGGTGTGAGTTCCTTTGGCAGAAAGGGCGGGACCTGTGGAAGGTGGTTGACAGATTCCGTAGGTGGCCGTTGGTGGAGAGTGTGAAGCTTTGTTTAAAATTTCGAGGAGGTAGGAAGGAATGCTTCAGTGAAGAGGGTCTGGTATCTGTCATGTGATTTCATCTCAGCCAAGACAAAAGACCTGTTTCTTTAGATTTTATGAATTCTAAGATTTGACTTACCTCTTGCCTTGCGTGGCCTTAGGTCTTGTTTGTAATTTGGTATCTTATTGTCACAGAGTCTGCGTTTCCAGTCGGCTGTCTGTTTTAACGTGAAGATGGATCAGTGGCTGTGTGTAAGCTCCTAAAGGAAGCGGATATAGTGAGGCTTGTCGGAAGGTTAATCTGTAGTCAGGTGTGGGAGGGGTCCAGCTGGCTCTTTCCGGTGTCTGTCAGGTGACTCAATTCCAGAATCACATTAAAGTTCAAGATAATCTGGAGTTCCAACAGCTTAAATTTTTGAATTACCTTTTTTCACAGACCATATAGCAGAAATTTTTTGGTTGTATAATCAGAGGTTACTTGACCAATTGTACCTGGTTAAGCTCATATTTCATTTCCCAATAAATTAGTAACTTCTTATTGTTTTCTCAGGCCACATAGTGTCACATAAGTTAGTAATTTATATGAATAGCATTTGAATTTGATTTCCATGTGCTTGGTTCCGAGATCTTAAGAGTACTATAGGCAGTTAAGTTTAATTACTTCCTATTCAAAATTTTCAACACTCCCCAGTTGACTGGTACTTCTCTGCATTTTCTAAATATATGGGAAGGGAGATCTCAAACCCTCCACCCTGTGACCCTGGCCTACCTCTGGAGAGCTTTCAGTACAATACTAAAATTTCAGTTCCTTTCTAAAATTTCCAGACACCATCTCTCCTTCTTCAATTCGTAATATCAGCTATTTGTTTTTGGTTTTTTTGTGGTTTTTTTTTGAGATGGAGTCTCTCTCTGTCGCCCAGGCTGGAGTGCAGTGGTGCGATCTCTGCTCACTGCAAGCTCTGCCTCCCGGGTTCACACCATTCTCCTGCCTCAGCCTCCCAGTAGGTGGGACTAAAGGCACCCGCCACCATGCCTGGCTAATTTTTTATACTTTTAGTAGAGACGGGATTTCACTGTATTAGCCAGGATGCTCTTCATCTCCTGACCTCGTGATCCACCAGCCTTGGCCTCCCAAAGTGCTGGGATTACAGGTGTGAGCCACTGCACTGGGCCCGTTTCTTGTTTTTGTTTTGTTTTTGAGACGGAGTCTCGCTCTGTCGCCCAGGCTGGAGTGTAGTGGCATGATCTCCGCCACTGTAAGCTCCACCTCCCGGGTTCATGCCACTCTCCTGCCTCAGTCTGGTAAATGAAAATGCACTGGCAAGATGCAGTGGCTCAGGCCTATAATCCCAACACTTTGGGAGGTTGAGGTGGGTAGATCACTTGAGGCCAGGAGTTTGAGACCAGCCTGGTCAATATGGTGAAACCTTGGCTTTACTAGAAATACAAAAGAGATTAGCCAGGTGTGGTGGCACACACCTGTAGTCCCAACTACTCCAGAGGCTGAGGCCCGAGAATTGCTTGGACCTGGGAGGTGGATTCTGCACTGAGCAGAGATCGCACCATTGCACTCCATCCTGGGCAAGTGAGCAAGACTCTGTCTCAAGAGAAAAAAAAAAACAAGAAATGCACTTGGGGCACACGGGGGCACAGTGCAGTGTTGTTGGAAAATAGTCATTCAGCACTTCAGTGAGCAGGATGAGCATAGAGAAATGTCCCATGTGATAAGATGGCCTGTGCTGACACTTGAGTCAAACATCACTGTGTTCTAGTCAGCACTGCCCCTCTGTGGGTTTGTCTTTTTGTAAATAATTGTTCACTTATTGCAGCTTCAGGTTTTTTGTTAATTGTAAATTGCATTTTTCACTAGAGCTTGCAAAATGAGAAAATTTTACACACAGGCCAGAAAGAGGTAGATTTCAGAAAAAAGATGGCTGGATGCAGTGGCTCACGCCTGTAACCCCAGCACTTTGGGAGGCCAAGGCAGGTGGATCACCTGAGGTCTGGAGTTCAAGACCAACCTGGCCAACACGATGAAACCCTGTCTCTACTAAAAATACAAAAGTTAGCTGGGTGTAGTGGCACACGCCTGTAATCCCAGCTACTTGGGAGACTGAGGCATGAGAATCCCTTGAACCTGGGAGGTGGAGGCTGCAGTGAGCTGACATTGTGCCATTGTACTCCAGCCTGTGCTATAGAGCAAGTCTCCATCTCAAAAAAAAAAAAAAAAAAAAAAAAATCTCTATTTAGTCTTGTATTCCATTTCTTAATATGTTTTTTTCTTCTCTACAGGCAGTGTAGTACATTTCTCAGGTGTATCCTTTTGTTGTGGGTGATTTCCAATGGCATTATAGGGACTAGTTTTAGGAATGCTACTGGAGAAAAATAGGGAAAGTTTACTATTATAACTGGAGAAAAATGAAATAATTTCCACAAGAAAATATGGTAGATTGGTGAATTACAAAGAGTACCCAAAATATCAGTTCTGGCCGGGCATGGTGGCTCATGCCTGTAATCCCAACACTTTGGGAGGCTGAGGCATGCAGTTCACCAGGTCAGGAGATTGAGACCATCCTGGCCAACATGGTGAAACCCTGTCTGTACTAAAAATACAAAAAATTAGTCAGGCATGGTGGCACATGCCCGTAGTCCCTGCTACTTGGGAGGCTGAAGCAGGAGAATCGGTTGAACCTGGAAGGCAGAGGTTGCAGTGAGCCGAGATTGCGCCACTGCACTCCAACCTGGGCGACTGGAAAAAAAATCAGTTATTCTTCTTTGCAGGATGGAGGACTTTTTTTTTTTTAAGAAAGGGTCTTGCTGTCACCCAGGCTGGAGTGTACTGGTGTGATCACAGCTCACTGCAGCCTTGACTTCCTGGGCTCAAGCCTAGGAAGGCTCAGTCCTACCTGAGCCTTCCGAGTAGCTGGGACCACAGGTGCATGCCACTCTGCCTAGC